AATTGGGTGCTCTAGAGTGATTACAAATTAACATGGACCTACGGACGGACGAACATACATAGCTAGATTGACTCAGCTCGGCGAGATAGGAAGATCCATATATACTTTCCTATGTGGAAACCAATATTTCGAGGTGTTACATAATTTTGGCCCAATCAAACTTATAATACCCTCAACATATAGCGTTGTAGGGTATAAAAAGCAAAAAAAGTATCAATCGGTTTTACCGACATATGTATACCCCCAGCCTTGAGTTATGATTACTTAAACTGTTGACTCTTTATGGGGGAGATTCTCAAGCAGTTGGCCAATATAGACCAATTTGTATCTGACCTAAGACCTTTAAAAATATTACAACGTGCCAGATTTGGACTATAGCGACTAATTCCTATACTTTATATGATTTATGTGCAAATTTTTGGAAAATATGGAAATATGCGTGAGGTAATAGATATGGCGGACTGAAGTATTCGATTTGAATGTATCCAATTTTATGCGAAATTGAGAGAAATATTCAGATATAGCAAATTGTAAAGAATCACTGACTTGTTTCACAATTGTGACCCTTTGTGGGTGAAGTACCAGAATGGGTTCGCAGATATATATCATCTTCACAACAGATCTTGTGTTAGCAAAAATGCTTGTCTGTGTGAAATTTGAAGAGAGTTGGCTGCGTATATCGCTTTCTTTGAGCGTTTTGTTTTTTCAAAATTCTTGAACCGTATGTGGGAGAGGTAGAAGAAGAAATGGTCCGATCTCTATCGTCTTTATACAGATTTTGTGTTGATGGAAATATTGAGAAGTATCATGTCTGAATCGAATGTTAGTTTCGCGTTTTATAAGCTTCATGGGCATTTAGAAATGTGACCCTTTGTGCGATAGGTACCAGAAGGAGTGGATAGATATATCCCATTTTCAAAAAATTGTGATGTGTGTAATTTGAAGAGAACCGTATTGTTATTTCGGATTTCACGATGGTTTTTGTTATTCAAAAATTTGACCCTTTTTGGGGAGGTACCAGAAGGAATGGTCAGATTTAATTTTCTTGGCTGGAAAACCACATGTGGCTATCGTTAGAGCACTCCAGCAATTAAATGTGAATAAATCTTTTGTGTCTCGTACCATCGCTCGTTACCGTTACCGTTACTGGTAGCGTAGCCCGACGTCAAGGAAGTGGAAGGAAGAAAAAAGCAACATCAGCAGAAATGGTTCGAAAAGTAAAGAAGCGACTTGATCGAAACCCGAGTCGCAGTGGTCGAAAAATGGTTAGTGAGCTGAACATATATTCCTGAACAAATATTCCATTCGGCAAATATTGAAAAATAAGCTCGGGGTAAAGCCATTGAAATTCCAAAAAGTGCAAGAACTTACACCGCAACAGAAACAGAAAAAAATAGACTCAAAAGATCTGAAGAGTTGCTTCGCTTGGCCGAAAGTGGTGAACTGCCGAATTTGGTTGAGAAAACATTTATTGTCCAGCGGTTTGTAAACAAACAAAATGATCGTGTTTACTTGCCAAAGAGGTCAGCTGAAAATATGCACCCACCAGAACTCAAGCGCCGGCCATGGTGATGGTGTGGGCCGCCATAACAGCCGATGGTTGCTCTCCGCTCATATTATTCGACCGTGGCTTCAGAATAAATGCCGAATATTATAGCGAAAATATTCTAGAAAGTGTATTAAAGCCTTGGACCCGCAAACATTTTGACCGCAGACCTTGGATATTCCAACAGGACTCAGCACCATAGCACTCAGCACGCGCCACCCAAGAATGGTAACAAAATTACGTTCCTATCTTCATTTCCAGCGCACAATGTCCAACAAAATCTCCGGATACCAATCCGTTGGACTATTGTGTCTGGAGTATTTTGGAAAGCAAGGTTGGCACTAAAAAATACCAAAGTGTCGATCACCTCAATCAAGCGCTTCGCCGGGAATGGGCCAAAATACCTCAGAGCAACATTCGGGCAGCGTGTGACGGTTTAATTGGTCGTTTGAGGGCCATAATTCGTGCCAATTCGAACAAATCTAAACGTATTATAAAAATTGATGCTATTTCCGATATTTTTGCTTTCACTCAATAAAATTTAAAATAGAAAACTTAAAAATTATGGCGTTTAACTTTGTTGCAGTTCTTTTATTTCACCCTGTATATAAAGGCCTGAAGAAAGTTTGGCTTTAGAATCCGAAAGTCTTGTGGAGTTTGGATTACTAGCGCAACACCTTCGAACTGTATCCATATTGTGCCCATATGATGGCTTACCTAGGCAAAAGCATCAGAGGAATTTGTGGACGAATAAAGTCTCTCTTCGTCTTTTGAAAGCCCGAGAGAGTCTACCTAATTTTCTCCCATGTTGTGGAAGACCAATGGCAAGGACAAAAGTAGCAAAAAAATTTTTTCCATTTAAAAGGGACAACAATGGCAGAAAAGTAAACATTTAGGAGGGTCCTCACCCAGCGTATGTCTGTGGAGGATATTATAAGTTTGATTGGTTCAAGAAGTTTGTAATAGCACGAAATATTGATCCCAGAACCGATTAGTATACCAATCATCTTAATTCGACGAGATGAATTGATCTAGCCATGTGTGTCAGTTCTTCTGTCAATTATAATCGCAATTATGGTTCGATCCCAGCTAAAATTACATGCGTCTAATTCTGGAGATTTTCAAATAATCTTTAGGTAATATTTATTTTTTCACCCCTTCACTTAATTTCCAAGATATCAACATGAAATTTTTACCACAACGCCATAAAGAATTAAGAACGGAATATTATACATCATAAAGATATCATAATGTCCTTATGCCTTTCCCTAAAAATATATCCATTTAAATTGGGCTTCTAAGAATGGGTGTCAAACACTTAACGCATCGACTGATTTCACGGTGATTGAAAGCTCTTTTAATTATTTGGTATTTTCTCACCAGAGCAGTGGGAAAACAAGGGGTGGAGACGATTCATGTTAGTGGCATGTTTTCAATTAAAACGTGAAAAGTGGGTGTCAAAGGGAACACAGCATTGATATGGGAATGTGTGCCTGTATGTACGTGTGTGTGTGGGAAATGAAACAAATATTTTCATTTGATTTGTTTCGAATTCGGCTATTAAAGCATATGCTTTGTGTTGTGGGTTTGTATGCGACGTATACATATTGAGAACTTGTTCATTGGGATGTATTGAAAATTAAACCCAGTAATGATTCATTTTTGTTTTTCTATTATTTTTATACCCTCCACCATTCTATGGAGGGAATATATTACTCAAACTTATATTTTGTCTGCAGGACTTTTGGTATTGAAAATGGGCCCTGTAGGTCCACGATATTCGGTATTTTGTTGATTTTAGCGACATTATTTATCGGAATTGTTTCAAATTTGGTATTTGAAGTTCGTAATGGATACTACAGCCTATGCCTATGACCCAAAATGGGTCATGTAGCTCCATGTCTTCGTATAGCCCCCATATAGCGGTACCTCCCGATATTCGGTATTTTGGTGATTTTAGCAACATAATTTACCAGAAAAGTTTCAAAATTTCGCATTTGAAGTTCGTAATGGATACTAAAACACAAGGTAGAAAATTGTGTATACAGGTTCAGGACTTCGTATAGGCCCCATATATTGGTATCTCCTTTTATTCGATATATTGGTGACATTTGCGACATTATTCACCGTAATTGTTTTAAACTTCGTATTTGAAATTCGGACTAGATATTTACTGTGCAAAAGCCAAAAAATGGCTAATACTCTTTTGGGGTCAAGATCCACGAACAGATTACTGTAAAATCCTCTTGGAATTTTCCACAATCCAAATTGGCAATTGGATTATGAAATTATATGATCATTTGCAGCGAATTCAGAAAAAATGCTAAATTGGTCGAAAATGAACAATGTTTTCAATTCGCCAAAATTATTGTAGCCATATGGCTACAGAGGATAGACAGGGTGAGATAAAAAAAACTGCAGCAAAGTCAAACGCCATAATTTTTACATCTTTTTTTAATTTTATTGAATGAAAGTAAAAAATGTCGGAAATAGCATCAAATTTTAGAATAAATTTAGATTTGTTCGAATTGGTCACTTTCGAATGTCCAAGGTCTGCGGACAAAATGTTTGCGTGCCCAAGGCTTTAATACACCCTCCAGAATATTTTCGCGATTCGTCATTAATTCTGATGCCACGGTCGATTAATACGAGTGGAGCGGAGCGGAGCGACTATCGGCTATTATGGCGGCCTACATCATCACCATGGCCGGCGCTTGAGTTCTGGTGGCCAATCGAAGGTGCAAATTTTTAGCTGACCTCTTTGGCAAGTAAACATTATCATTTTGTTTGTTTACAAACTGCTGTACAACGAATGTTTTCTCATCGGAGACTGAGAAAGCCAAATTCGGCAGTTCACCACTTTCGGCCAAGCGAAGCAACTCTTTAGCTTTTTGAGTCTATTTTCTTTCTGTTGCGGTGTAAGTTCTTGCACTTTTTGGAATTTCAATGGTTTTACCCTGAGTTCATTTTTTCAAAATTTGCCGAATTCGACATTGCGATATGTTCAGCTCTAACGATAGCCACTTATGGTTTTCCAGCCAAATTAATTTAAAACTCCCACATATTTAAAACTCCCAAATTAATAATATGCCCTCCACAACAATGATTTTTTTCTAATATATAAACCTCTCGAAGTTATTTCAGACACTCTATAGAAATGTTTTTTGACGCGAGATGTATAAATTCCTCCTCCATGGAAATGGGTTCAGAGTTCGGTTTTCCTTGCATACATAAGTAGCCTCTGATTCCGAATTAAAACTGTTCTTATAAGTATTCAAAAAAGGTTGGTAGGATCTTCTTCACATATATTCCCAATATAAACATTTATTTATTACTGATAGTTCTACCAAATTCCGTAGCCCGATTTTTAATCTTACCTTACTGGTTTTGTGTTGCACAGTGTAATTTACCCAAAAAAATATCAATTTTTAATTTGTCTTAGATTTTATTTTAATTCATATGACCTTAAATAAATACATATTTACACACAATTTTTACATTTGATTCGTTCCACCCCAATATCTCGTCGCTGGGTATTCATTTCCTTTTCTTAGCGTAGAAAATTTGGCTCAATATCGAATGGCTCCTTTTTCAATTTATGTTTTAGATGGGGCAATAAAGGATTAAAAGGTTTCGGTTTGCGGTGACGAAGATGTTGTTGTTGTTGTTGCTGACGTTGATGTGGTCGCCACAGCTGATGATGGTGGGGACGACTCTGATGATGAGGTGGCGGCGGCGGTAGACGTGTTTGTTGATAATAGTGTTTGTGAATGGTTATGGGTCGCCGACTGAGACGCAGGCGGTCTCGTTTACGTTTCTCCCGCAATCGCCGGCGATTAATCGAACCGATGGTACGCTTAACACCAAACAGTAAGCTGAGAGCCGGTTTGATAAGAAAACTCAGACCAAGGAAGCCGATAAAACCAAACACCACTGGGGAAACGAGCGAGAAAAGGAAAACGGCCAAGGTGAAGGGGTTAAGGATGGTAAAGAATGCGATGAATTTCACAAAGGGATAGAGAACGTGTTTCAAGTGATGGAGATATTCTTTTTTCTTTTTCTTGAAAATGGTGTTCTTACGCAGAAGGTATTTGATTTTCTTCTTGACGGGTGCCAAGTGGTGTTGATGGTGATGATGATGTGGCTTGGCTGTTGTCAACGGCAGGGGTTTGGCCAAGGATCCATGATGGTGTTCCTCCGTGGAGGATGTGTGATGTGTGTGGGCTGCAGGGTGCTGGAATTGAGGTTTTTGGGACAGACTGGCAAAAATAACATGTGCCGGTTGTCCCACCAATGTTGGTTTATTTTGGGGTTTCTTATTTTTTTGTTTCTTTTTCTTGGGTTTCTTTTTCTTTTTGTCCTTTGTCCCTTTCGAGGGTTTCTTCTTTTTCTTCTTCTTCTTTTTTTTCTTTTTCTTCTTCTTCTTTTTACTGGCCTTTTCTTGGTTTTCGTTGACTTCGGTGTCTTCTTCCCAGGATTCTGCTGGTAAATCATGTTGCTGTTGTCCAAATGATAGTTGTTGTTGTTGTTGGCTGAGTAATAGAAACTTTTGTTGTTCTTGTTGCTGCCTTTTTTCATCCAGCTTAAGTTGTTCCAGTATATTAAATGATTGTTCCTGGTCCTCCGGATGTTCTCCTTTGATATAAACACGCAGTGACCTTTGTACAGAAGTACTGGGTGTCGTTCGTTTCGGATGCAATGTTGTTGGTATTTCTGGTTGTTGCTGTTGTTCTGCAAAATATTTCACTTTGACACAGGGTTTTAGCTGATGATGTTGCTGTTGTTGTTGCTCCTGCATTTTTTGTGCAATATTTGTTAGAATTTTTAATAGAAATTCATTGTTTTGGTCAACGGCTTGGAAGTTTGCCCCGCTGGGGTCAGTTGCATAAAACTCCACTGGACTTTGTGTCTCAGCGCCATCATCATTTCCCTGTCCATTTTCCCCACACAATCCCAAAACCGCATTGTTATTAAATTCATATTCACCCAACTCAGTTGGATATTTCAATATTTGAAAATAGTTCACATTCGAATCGGGATGGCTGCCAACAAAGGTTACCGTAGAAACCCACAGACAAAGGAAACCCCATTGCCTTTCGATCATGGTCGAGCGAGGGGAGGGGGAGGGGGTGAGTTTTAACTTATGTTTACCCTTCTTTTATAAGTTCTTTTCTGTTGTTCAAATTTATCCTAGATGTTTGTTCACTCGGATTGTTGTCTCAGCCTGGACTTTGTCTTTTTTCATAATTTCCGTTAAATTTTACTTCCGCCTTTGACAAACTTTAACGTTTAACTGTTGTAATGCAATTTGAGAATTACTTTGGTAGCTGTTTTTCGGAGGAGGAGGAGGGGTTTCTGCTTTCACTAGTTCACTGATTGTTTTTTTTTTTAGTTTTGGCAAGTTAAAGCCAACTTTTATTACTTCAAGTAATTAATGTCACTTCTTAAAGCATGTCTCAATTTTCATTGGAGAATTTTCTGGTTTTCTCGTTCGTGTGGTCAGTTTCACATATCTTGGAGAAACTTTGTCGGTCTGTTGTTGGCTGTTTTTGGGTTTTGGTTTCTGTCACAAAACAAGTATCATTGCTAGCAGTGGGAAATGGCAGGGCTGGGAGTTGGGAAAATTTAAGATTTTTTCTTGAAAAGTAATTATCTCAAAAAACAGCCTTGATATATAAAAGCGTAAAATAATTGACTGACTGATTGATTGACAGACTTAGCGATTCATCAACGACCAGATGAAAAGACTGAAGCTAGAATCCTGAAATCTCGGTCTGAAGGGGTTAGATAAGGTTGGGTTTTTGGAAATTCGTACTAGAACGGTACGAAAAGTATTAAAAGTTACTAAATATTGTACCCCTTGTTTTTGAGGAAGCATAACAGCATAAAGAGTTCTTAAATTTGAAATGAGGGTCACTGATGGGGTGTATGATAGATGTGTCAAAGGATTTTTGGAAATTCGCACTATAAGTGTACGAAAAGTACTGAATTTGGTACCATTTCGTATTATGTGAATGGTTAGAGCAAAAAACTGAAATTTGGAATGGGAATCAAGGTTAAGGAGTATGGTGGAAGTTAGTTTTGGAAGTGTGTACTTCTATAAGAAGTACTAAATTGTACTAAATTTAGTATAATTTGAATTTGAGGGTAACTGATGGAGCTGGAGGAGAGTAAGACGGAGAAATTTAAATAGTTTTGGAAATTCGTACTTATGTGTACTAAATGGTACTAATTTTGGAAAATTTTAATTTTGGCTAAACAAAAAGAGCTGGAATCCAGAAATTTTAATGTAGGATTTCTATTGGACTACAGGGTTGCCCATATTCGACGGACCCATCTGGCAATGCCATAACTTTTGGCAGAGATGTCACATCGCTTAATGACATACCGCGTTTGAAGCGTCAGTCCAAGCAGATTTTACCATGAACCAATACACGCCACGCGAGCGCTCTGAAATAGTTGAAATTTACATTCAACAGAAGAAGTCTATTGTGAAAACTCAACGTGCTTTTAAAACATTAAAAAATGTGAGAAGTGCGCCTTCTAAGAACACCATTAAGCGTTTATACGAAAAATTTTCGACTGGTAAGGCTCTTTCTAATCCGAAGAGGCCATATAAAAGTCGACCAAGACGATCGGCCGAGAATATCGCTGCCGTACGAGCCAATGTTGAGAGGTCCCCAAGAACATCCCAAAAACGCCGTTCTCAGCAGTTGGGCATGGCTCGGTCCACTTTACAACGGATTATTCGCATTAATTTGCATTCGTTCCCGTACAAAATTCAATTGACGCAAAGAATGTTGCCTGCGGACAAGCCTCGTCGATTGGAATGGGCCCAAAGAGTCATCGAAATGGCCGAAGATGACGAGCAATTTCGGAACAAAATTATCATGTCCGATGAAGTCCATTTCACATTGAATGGGACCGCAAATAAGCAAAATTGCCGTTTTTACACCACTGAAAATCCTCAGGAGATTCAAAAAGTGTCTCTTCATGACGAAAAAGTCACAGTTTGGTGCGGCGTTACTGCGAAAACAGTCATTAGGCCGTTTTTCTTCAAAAATGAAAATGGCCATGCTGTTACCATCAATCAGGAGCGTTATCGCGACATGATGACCAATTTTGTGATGCCAATTATTCGTCGAAAGCGTATGAGGCAGTTCTGGTTTCAACAAGACGGCGCTCCACCGCACACAAGTCGCATAATAATCGATTTTCTGAAGAATTTGTTTCCGGGCCGTTTGATGTCGAAAAGTGTTAATTTGGACTGGCCACCGCGTTCGCCCGACTTGACGTCGCCTGACTTCTTCTTGTGGGGATATTTGAAGTCAAAGGTTTACGTTAACAAGCCAAGGACCGTAGAAGAGCTCAAGGACAACATTCGTGAAGAAATAGCCGCTATTCCGGCCGAAATGTTGGCAAAAACCATGGAAAATGCAGAAAAAAGGTCACAATACGTCTTCAACGCCAGAGGCGGCCATTTGAGAGATATCATATTCAAAAATTGATGTAAACAAATCTACTTGGAACAAATTAAATGATTAACATTACCAACCGCCAAATATTTATTTTTTTTCTTTGATTAAAAAAAAAAAACATGGGTCCGTCGAATATGGGCAACCCTTTATATGGTGTAGGTAGTTATGAAAATTTGTGCTTAATGTACTGGTACAAAATTGGTTACAATCTGGATTTGGGTGAACCAATAGAGCTGGTAGAGCTGGAACAAACATAGGTGGAATACTAAAATTTAGAATTAAGATTCCTGCGGAGTGAAGGATTGGCTCATGCAGGAAGTGTTGGAAATTCGTGTTTATATGTTCTACAGGGTGAAAAAACTACAACAAAGTCAAACGCCATAATTTTTAATTTTTTTTTTTTAATTTTATTGAATGAAAGCAAAAATGTCGAAAAAGGCCTCAAATTTTAGAAAAAGTTTCGATTTGTTCGAATTGGTCAACTTGGTACGAATTATAGCCTTCAAACGGCCCTTGAGTTCTGGAGGCCAACCGATGGTGCTGACCTCTTTGGTTTATTTACAAACTGCTGGACAACGAATGTTTTCTCATCGAAGAAAACCGAATTCGGTAGTTCACCACTTTCGTCCAAGCGAAGCAACTCTTTAGCTCTTTCGAGCATATTTTCTTTCGGTTGCGGTGTAAGTTCTTGCACTTTTTGGAATTTCAATGGCTTTACCTCGAGCTAATTTTTCAATATTTGCCGAATGGAATATTGCGATATGGTCAGCTCGCGAGCCATTTTTCGGCCATTGCGAAGCGGGTTTTGATCAAGCCGTTTCTTTCCTTTTCGAACCATTTTTGCCGATGTTGCTGTTTTCTTCCGTCCACTTCCTTGACGTCGGGCTATTCTACCAGTATCACGGCAACGAACGATGGTACTGGACTAATATTAACAGCTGTCGGACGAGTTGCTTAGAAATTACAGCAGTATGAAATTGGTTTCAGTTTTTTCATCTCACCATAGTATGGAGGGCATATTAAGTTTGCCATTCCGTTTGTAACACCCAACGAAATATACATTTTAGACCCCACAAAGTATGTATATTCTTGATCAGCATAAAATTATATGCCGATCTAGCTATGTCCGTTCGTATTTCGTCCGTCTGTGGAAATTATTCTAGCTTCCGAAAGAAATGTATTAGGTTGATAAAATTTTACTCAAATGCATATTATATCTACAGGATTTTTGGTTTTGTAGGTCCACGTTTTGGTATAGCCCCCATATAACGGTACCTCCCGATATTCGGTACTTTGATGATTTTAGCGATATTATTCAAGGAATTTTTTCAACTTATATAGCCTATGACAGAAGATTGTCTGCGCAGGTCCACGTCTTCTTGTAGCCCCCATATAACGCTACCTCCCCATAATCGGTATTCTGATGATTTTAGCGACACTATTCACCCGAATTGCTTGAAATTTGGCATTTGAAGTTCGTAATGGATACTACAGTCTGTGACAGAAAATTGTCTGTGCAGGTCCACGTTTTGGTATAGCCCCATATAATAGTACCTCTCTAACTTTTTTAATTGTTTTTAAATTAATTAATTACTTAATTTTCTAAATAATGATTTTATTTTACTTTTTTACATGCTTATTTTAACGATTTTAATGTGCTTGAATTATAACATTTAACATTTTGTCCAAACTATATTACTGTGTTAAAACTAGTCTTATTAACTCATCCATCTCTGGCATACAATTGTATTTTTTCAGAACAAAAAGAAACCAACCGCAAATATACAATTATTTCACCACTTTTATGTTGTTGAACTAACAAATATTAAAAAAAAGTGAAATTATTCTTGTACTTAACATTTCCACAGATTCTTTGATGACTTATGACCCCCATAAACAGACATTTTCTTTATGGACATAAACAAAAGACATAACTCCAACTTAAAACACATGTCTTTGACCGAGTTTCTCAAAGCAGCATAAGTACCGGTTTTATTGTCACAGTTAAAATGGCCTTTGTTTTGTCTGTAAAGTAGCTTCGCATTGTTTGTGCTGTTTTGATGGATGTCTTTAAAAAAAAATATTATATCGACAAAAAAGCCGGTTAACATTAATTGTGGCCCATGGGTAAAACACTACAACAATAATTGAACTAGTCCATTCTATTTTTTTATTTTATTCCGATTTTAGGAGACTTGCGATTATGTGCTGTTACTCTTTCTATTGACTGCAATGAACTGCACATTTTTTTTCAATATATTTATATTTAATGACAATGTTTTAAATACGATTTACTGCACAATGCGTTATAAAGAGCAATTTTAATATTTGTAAAAGCTCCGTCCTGTTTCGATTTACATGTGTCATTTTTTGAATAATTTATTTTATGCGTTAATGTATTCACTTTTTTTGAAAAAATAATTTAGTTTTGGTTTTATATCTGCCATCGACGCTTAGACATATGCACATGAACAAGTTCGGAGGTTTTTTAATGTTGAAAATTTTGGGTAAGCTAATGTTATTTTATTTTTTTTGTGATTTGAAAGGTTATCAAAAAAATCGTTTAAAGAGCTGATACGATGTGAGGAGTTGTGAAAAAGAAGAGCTACGCTCCAAAACAAAATGG